GTAACCGTTGAGGGGTTGATGCCTTGCATGAGTTTTTGTGGGGTACACGTGACGTAACCGCTAGGGTCGTAACATATTATAAAGCTAGCTAGTATACTAGTTTCCCTTAATGCTATATCCCTGGTTTTATATTACTATAATTACTAGAGCCCTAGTAGGAATAAAGCTGGTATTATATGCTATATAAAGCTATACCGGCATTAGGAGACCTATATTTATATTAGCTCCTAGGGGAGTATTCTAGGCTATTTAACTATTAGTATTAAACATATTATATACCGGCTATTATACTCCTAGATTCTCTTAGCTATAAAGAATAAGTCAGGGGATAGGCTAAAAAAAGCCTACTGCCTTATATATTACTTGCCTAGTCCCTAAGTAACCAGGAAGGTTATTTGCAGTAATAGCAGGCTATAGGATAAACTAGTTATTTTAATTTAAAGGGACTAGGTAGGAGATAGTTTAAGTATTATCCTTAAAGATCTTAAAGTTATTATTCTTATTATTATTTAAAGCTATTATTAAAGAGATAGAGATATTATAAGCTAAGGGGTTTATTAGATTACTTAATATCTTAAAGGAAGATATTATATTAAGGAGAGAAGATAAGAAATTTATCTCTTAATTTATATATATATCTACTAATTAACTTATAGCTATATTAAATACTTATTATATAGATTAAGAGTAATAGAGGAATTATTTTTATAGTATAACTAAAGGCATAATAATAAATATCTTGTATATAGTATCTCCCTTTATTAATTTGAGTCAAGAAGAAGAAGGCATATACTATTAAGTTAATTATATTATAGTTATAATAGAGAGGGCTTCTATATATTAGTATCAGTTATATTTATAATATAACAAGGCTCTCTTTATATCCTTAATATTATAAGCAGATAACTATTCTTGCGTAATCCTATTAGTTAGAAGGTTATATTACTTCTGTGTTATTTGCAATAAATAGAGGCCAGGCAGCAGATTAATAATATAAAATATAAAGTGATAAGTAGTTATAAAGATGAAAAATACCACTAAATAGCTATTTTAATTATAAATAGTATTATTATTGAATAGCAGTTATGCATTTAATCCAAAGTCAGACATTTAGCCTTATCCGCATAACCGGTTATGCGAAAAACACGTGATACTAAACGCACAGCCGGTTGTGCAGGTATGAGTCCCCCCCATAAGCCGCCAGGTTTGTCAGCCATTTTTCGTAAGCATCTTACCTCTGAACCAATCAGATCTTCTCCAGTCCACCAATTTTTAAGCATATCAACCTGGTTACTCCAATCCTACGGGATTGTCAGCGAATAGTTGCAGTGACCAAGACCCACCTCCCCAAAGGAGCATCCGGAGCTTGAAAACCATAGGGCTGGGGTTATGTCATCGCCAGCAATGCTATGCAGTGAGATGATATATTGGCTTTGGTATAAAGAGGGGGAATGATGCATGATGATGAGACTCACCACTTGATTCATTAATTGCTTCATTGCTTGTTGAGATGTCAACGAAGATGCGCTTCTTTCAGCTCGCCCTCGCCTCGTTGGCTTCCCTCGCGGCAGCCACTTCATCCTTCGACACTTGGGCTCACGGCCGGATTGCCCTACAAGACGTCAGCATTCACTTCAGATATGCAGGCTCAGGACCGCCCCTTCTTCTCGTCCACGGAAATCCCCAACATAGCCTTACATGGCAATTTATCGGTCCCATTCTCGCTCAGAACTACACTGTCATTGCCCCCGATAACCGAGGCGCTGGTGATTCGAGCGTTCCTCCCGATGGGAACTACACTGCCGCTGCATCGGCAGAAGATCTCAAAGGCGTACTGGATTTTCTGAACATTACCTCGGCGTATGTGTTTGCGCATGATAAGGGCGTTGGAATGGCAACTGCACTGGCTATCAAGTATCCAGATCTTGTCAAGAGACTTGCTCTGGCTGAATATGTTCTTCCAGGCTTCACCTACGAACAATCCTCAAACCCAGCGCCGTTCTGGGATCTGTATCAGAACTGGCAGTTGGCATTCTTTCAGGTGCCCGATTTAGCCGAATTTCTCATGTCGGGCAAGGAAAAGCAATTCTTGCAATGGTACTTCTACCATGGGAGCTATTCTGGCGTCGAAAGCTTTAGCGAAGAAACAGTCAACAGATACACGAGCAGTATCTCGAAGCCAGGATTTCTAAGAGCTATGCTTGGACCGTTCTCAAGTTCGACAGTTTATCAGGACGGAAACTTCTTCAAAGCCGCGCTGAACGACAGTCGTCTGAGCGTGCCGCTGCTTGGTATGGGTGGCGAGGCAAGTCTGGGATTGAAATCGGTTCTGCAACAGACCTTCGAGCCAGTTTCATCTGATCTCGAAATCGATGTCATTCCAAAGGCCGGGCACTGGGTTGGTGAGTTTTCTTTCTAATCTCGATAAAGTATCTTGTTAATTGTTGAGTAGCGGATGAGAACCCTCGATGGACTGCGAAGAGAGTAGCCAAGTTCTTTGGTGAAGACGATGATAGCCTGTCAAAGGTCGACTTGGGTTACTTGGATGATTTGGTTACACTAGACGTCGGCTTTTACGGTACGAGGAGAAACTTTGCGCTGGGTACTCAGTAAGCGGTTTGGGTCGTTCAGATAGTCATTGAAAAGGTTGGCGCAGGCATGGTTCTAAGGGATCATGGGCAACCCCACAAAGATCCCCGTACATTGAAATGAAACTGATACTTTAATCAAAGGTCTGACTGGCTACGCTCTTCGTAATGGGCTCTATCACAGGGTCGCAGTCGGCATAAGGACGTTGTATGTAAATACTCTCAAAATAGATACAAGAATGTTGCACCTGGCAACTCCTACACTCAATCTCATATATACTCCATCATAACCAGCTCAAAGCTCACTTCTTAACAGCGCATCCAATGCGCTTAGAGTCAATAGCAATGTCATCAAACCAGAAAGTGTTGACAGCGCCGCTATAAGACTCCCAGCCAAAGTAAACACCCTGAACCTTGGGCTTGGGCTTGCTCCTGGCCCAACCGCCAGCATAAGAGCTGGGAGCATTGGGCTTGTAGACAAGACCGTGAACGGGGTTGTCGTTGAGCCAAGTGGCGATGGTACCATCGGGGGAGAGGTGGTACTCGAGACATTGCCATGTGTTGGCGGGGATGTTCTTGGAGGCAGCGATGCCGTCGGGGGACAGATCGGGAAGGGTGGCGTCGTCGGATTCGTGGTTGTACATCATGATCTTGCTCTGGCCGCCGATGCGGAGATGCTTGCCCTTGCCCTGCGCAGCGTCAGGCATAGTGATGAAAGTGACGTGCGAGTCATCAAAAGCCTTGGCAGTCTTCCTATAATTGGAACAAGTAATCAGCAGCTATTCTCTTGGCATGTTGAGCCTCAAAACTTACATCCAAGTTCGGACATAGACATGACCCTCGGGAACAGCATCAGTTCCAAAGAACTTGTGCCCACAGAAACCATTGGGTCCACCGGTGACCTTGATAGAGTTCTTTCCACTGTGAGCAGTAGTCTTGTCAAGCTCAACGCTACCGCCCTGATCGCAATCAGGCGCATAAGTCGGCCAAGCGACCTTATCCCAACCACTCTCGAAATCCTCAGCGACCTGGCCGAGGGCGAGGGGCAGCACAGAAAGTGCAGCAAGAGCAACTTGACGAAGCATGATGAAAATATACGAGAAATGAAATATAGACTGAAAGAAGTGAAGTGAAGTGAGGATGAAAAGCCAAGGTTGCCAAGAATGAGGGACGATGCGAGATCTATATATGAGCTGATCATTGACGGGCGATATTAGGGACTGAAGCCTGAAACAGGGCGGTTCTCTCGCTTGTGGTTGTCATTGGTCGTGCAGGGGTGTTGCGGTTAGTTCGGAATCGAAAGCCCGCAATTTCCTTGTCGGGCCATGAGGTGAAACCTGAGACGAGCATAACGGGAATTCTTCCGTGGAAGGGGTGTGAAACAATATATTTATCCGTCTTTTGACTGGATGATTTTCTTGTCCTTGAGGGGTTAATTGGTATTATACATATTCAATCATATTGCTTCATGCATTTTTCGGATCAAGATGACCGTCTATCCGACAATATGTAGTATAGGAAGTGGGTTGGCGTAGCATATAGAGCATCACTACCAAGATTGGTTTAATTATTTGACTAAAGAAATTCGGATGAATCCACGAGATACTCAAAATGGAAAATGAAGTTTTCTGTTCGGAAGTTGTCTTGCTCTTTTTACTACAGACGTCTAACGCCTAAATACAAACCTGACTATAGTAACGCCTGCCAGGCCAAGCTTGCCTAAATAGAAGAACAGAAAACCCATCCACTTACCTTACCTTAACTTACCCCATACATCGAAGAGCGCCAAAGAACCAAACATGAACCTTTCTGGCACCATAAAACCGGGCAATCCCTCTGAGAGGGTTAGGTAGCATGATCACAGTTGATGAAATCATGATTGCCATCTTAGTAGCCAGCCGTTGATAGCAGTGGCGTATACGGCTCCGGAACGGGCTCTCACCATCGAATTGCTTTTGCTTACTTGTTTGTCCCATCGGTATCGTAGACATGACGGCGTTTGTTCTTGCCATTGCATCGGTAGTCGACTGTACAGTGCTCCTCTGGGTCGCTCTTACTGGTGTGCCATCCATTCACGACGCTTGCGTTAGTAGCATTAGCAGGAGCTTGAGCCACGGTGTAGTTGGCGATAACAAGTCGTTTGGTGTCGCCATTTATCTGGCTGGTATACATGTTTTCAGGATCGAATGAGACGCTGGTGTTGTCCATGTTTGCAAGGAAGGTGGCGATATTGTTAGTGCGGTTGGAGTATATCACAGAGAGTGTCAATCTATCCGAAAGGTGAGATAGTGTAGAGATTCAGTGTGAGTTTGGTATTGTTAAGACCGGGGTTGATAGCCAGGGAATTGTGAATATATATGTATAGATGCAGAGAAATAACTCTGTTCTCTAGGTAATGTTCTCGATCAATTAATCCGTCGTCGATTCTATGTTCAGGGACCATATCTTATGTTCCATCGTGTTCCCGTCATGGTGACCTTGTGCCTAACAACTACATCCCTAGCATATTTCATATTGCAGACGAGCTACGAAAAAGATATGCTAATCAGATGCGCAATTGATTCAATTTACTCAGCATACAAAACTTTCTGCTTGTTGGAGGCTGAGCAATCCTGGCAAGGTCGTCTATGCCATGGCCATGCCATTCAATTTTGCTGTTCTGTCACAAAGCGAATGCCAAGGTCAGAGCGTGAACAAAGGAAAACAGCCACCACATGCAGACGACAAAAACTCGGAGGAAGCTTTTTTTGATCCAATGCAAATGGTCGCTGTGTCCAGTGCCCCTCCAGGTCAGAACAAAGAATGTTTGCTACCCAGGTAGAAGAAATTCGGGTCATCGGTGACAGGTTGGGCTTGAACATGACGACACACAGTATTCTTTGTCTGAACTTGCGAACTACGCTGTCCTTTCACCGCTACTACGGGCTCCTTTGATGGGAGGAAGAACAGTGTTGGTAACAAAGCCCAATTTCGATGGCAATGAAATTAGACTTTGAATTGAGCTGTGCGAAGACTAGCGGAACTTGCTGACAGATGTAGCAACCAAGGACAAAGACTTGATGATGGCTATTTTCGTTGCATAAATCTAGACTGACCCTCAGTCGGGTTACTTTCTTTTCACAGTAGAACATGTGGTTAAGGTAGCGAGCTGCTCAGAGTGGAAACCAATATCGGTTTATTGCCTCTCTAGCCCCTAACCAAAATAAACTCAAGCACCGAAACGCCAACTAATGACCTAAAAGATTGACCGAACTCCTACCCATACACAGCCCGATAAACTATCTTGGCTCTATCAGATTGAGAAGATCTAGTCAAGATAGGAGTAGTGTGCTTGGCCCTTTAATTCCACTATTGACTATACTCTAAGTATTTGTCTCATCGCTATTATAAACATGCTTACGCTTAATAAACCTACGCTTGCCTTTTTTGTAGTCCACGGTAGTGTTTCTTCGTGTCACTGTTACTATCGTGTCAGTCAACCTCGACCCATGCGGAAGCAGCTCTAGCCGGAGCTTGTTCTACCGTAAACCTGGCTATTTCGGCTCTAATGGCAAGGCCCTTTTGCTGATTCTTTTGCGCACCCAAATACATCATACCCCTAAATTTGACAGAAATTGGCTAGAGCCGGCAACCTTAAGGCTTTATTACGAGAGAAGAATTAAACATCTCATGTCAAGAGTGTTCTCGGTGAAACGTGGACTCATCTGGTTGTTCATTGTTCTTGTGCATGTTCAACAGCATATGAGTGGGTTGAGGTCGGTCCCAGCACCGGTAGTGAAATAGAACACCTATTATCGAAATATGTACTAGACTGAACTGACAACAGGATATATTGTTCTCCCTGGCAGTGGAAATTTAAGTCATTGTTCACAGATCAATGGCTCTTCAATACCCAAAAGTGTTTGGGACATGGCGATGCCACGACCGACCAAGAGGAACCGACTTCCTTGTTCGGGTTCAAAGCGGGAACCAAGGCTAGAGCAGAGACAAAGGGTAATGGCAACTAAATATAGCCCGCGACTTGGAGCGGATTCTTTCAACTTGAAACGGATCTTGGCTGCCACATATGGGCTCCGCATGGAGAACAAAGAGTATTTGCTATCGAGGCCTGTTGTCATCACAATCATTCACCCGAGTTGCTATTGCCCCACTTCAACAAGACCAACAGTACTTGTGATATCCATTGCCTGTGACGAATCCCAGAAACTTATAAAGCCCTCGCTTCCACTCGTTACATGTTCCAAAATACTCCTCAGAACACCCTTACAGGACACGTCACCATGGCAGAAATAAGCGACTCTCCTCCACCAACGCCAACGGCTCCTTTCAAACGGAGGTTGAAGAACTTCACATCCCCTGGCGAGAATCCCGCGAAATACCGCCCCGGAGGCTACCACCCGGTTAATCTAGGTGATATCTTCAATGATGGCCAGTACAAGGTTATTCGGAAACTTGGAGAAGGGTGTTTCTCTATTGTCTGGCTCGCCCACGACTTAAGGTAAGTTAATCATCCCCCATTCAACACTGAACGTTTGCTTACAATTTGGTAGGAACTCTCGATACGTGGCTCTGAAGATTCTTGTCTCAGACCAGGAGGACCAATCCCAGGAGGTGGAAATACTGCACCATCTTGCCAAGGTTGCTCCCTCGGAAGCACCTCAGAGGACCACGCAGATTCTCGCAGAGTTTGAACACAAAGGCCCCAACGGCACGCACAAATGTCTCGTTTTTGAACCAATGGGCCCTTCCGTCAATCAAATGATTCTGGAATTTGCTTACAGAGAGGACAAGTTTCCGAGTGAGATAAAGTATCCGCCCCAGATGGCAAAACGCATCCTCAGGGACTCCTTGAAAGGGTTGGCTTTTCTTCATAAGAATGGTATCTCTCACGCAGACTTTCAGCCTGGAAATATGCTGTTCTCGCTCAACAACATTGATTCCTGCGATGAGGCGGCCCTATGCCAGGAAGAGACGCCGGACGAGGAATACCGAATTGAGAGACTTGATGGCAAGAAGGATAAATGGGCACCCGAGTATCTGTTGACCGCAGAGCCGCTGGCTAGCCACACGAGCATTGATGAAAGCCTCGAAGTTAAACTAGCTGATATGGGTGGTGGTAAGTACATTCTCTCCTCAGATGAATTTAGTCTAACAGCTATTAGCATACTTCCTCAACGACCCTCCCGAGGAACCGGTAGTCCCTCGTGCCCTTCGCGCTCCAGAGCTAGTCCTCAAAGGAGAATTCGACAAGGCTCAGGATATCTGGAGCTTCGGATGTCTGGTTTTTGAGTTGATCGCTGGACGACATCTCTTCTACATATGTGGTCCATTCAAAGACGAGACCGAACCAGACGACGAGCATCTTCTTGAGATTCAGGATAGACTTGGCCCACTACCCGATGAGCTTTACAGCCACTGGAAGACTTCCTCGCGCTACTACACCAAGGATAGAAAACTGTATAATTGGGCGCTTGGTGGTGCTGAGGAGGGTAAAGAGCCGAAGATGCCGGAACCGTCTATGCTGTCTACTATGGAGGAAGCCTTCGATAAGGAGAGCCCAGAGATGACAGAGGCGGAGGCGCAGGAGGTCAAGAAACTCATTCGATGGATTCTTCAGTATGATCCTGCAAAGAGACCCTCAGCTGAAGAGATCCTCCGTCACCCATGGTTTGCGGAAGATTCAAGTGAGAAGGCAGAGTAAGATTGGTACTGGTGGTAGTTTATGGGAAGGAGGTGCTTGGGAAAGGGAAAGGGATGACTGGTAGTGATTTTAGATTGAAACATTCGCGCAGTAAGTAGTTGGAATTATTGATTTGTGTTTTGATTCGCTAACTACATGACTCTACACGTCAACATAACTTTAACCCAGCGTGAAGCACCTTGACCTTCTAGTTCTTTGGCTTCTTGAAAGCATCCTTGGTGAGCTTAACAACGAAAGCACCACGCTCAATAGTGTTGATGAAGATGTATCCCGACTTGAAGTAAGCATAAGAAGACCAAGTTCCAACAAAAGCAACAGTGCCACCGCCGGGGAGAGCATCATCCTCGGGGTAGATGTCGAACCAGGCGGCTTCATAAACACCAGCACCGGTGGGATCTTGAGGAATGGAGCGGCCGTCGAGGACGCGGAGACCAGCGCCGTAGTGGGACTGGTAGATGTAGTTGTTGATGACGTACTGGTTGTGATCGATGGACTTGGTGGGGTGCTTGAAAACACCGGTCTGCTTGGGGTTCTCAAGATCACGGATGTCCCAGATGAAGGTAACGGGATAACCGTCAGCACCAGGACCCTTACCATCACGCTCATCGAGTTCGTCGTCCATGACGAGAAACTCTTGGTTCTGAGTGTCCAGAACCCAGCCTTGGTGAGTGTAAGAAGCACCCTCATAAGAGATCTTGGAGATAATGTTGGTGACATTAGCCTTATCAGTGACATCGTAGATAGTCAGGGTATCCTCATTATATCCGTAGCAGATATCACGACCCTGGTAACGCTTATCAGGACCACGGTAAACAAGACACTGCGCATCGTGAACATAGCCATCGCCCTTGGCGCATCCAAGAGACTCTGGGTTAGAAGGATCAGTAAGATCAAAGAAGTTAAGTCCAGAAAGACAGTTGGAGTCATTGCGCGGCTGAGCACCAACAGCAACACCGTACTTCAACTCCTCATTGACAACAACATTGTGAGCTCGACCAACAGGCAGCAGGGCAGAAAAGTGGCTGGTGAGATCCTTCTTTGCGTCAAAGACAACAGGACGCTTGGGGTTGATCTTGAGGAGCTTCTTCATGTCGAAGATCTGAATACCATGGCCGACAGCTTCGGATCCGATGATGACGTAGTTCTTGTACGTGCGGATCTCGCGCCACTGGGAGGGGACAGAGTACTCGGGCAGACGGCCAAGGTAGACGAGCTGTCCCTTCTTGGTGATCTCCGCGAAAGCAGTGCCGTCGTACTGACCGATAGCGACAAACTCACGTCCGTTATCGGAAGTCCATCCCCAAGAGGACGAACCTCGACCACCCGTGCTACCAAGCGCAGCATGGCTCAAGAACGAGTAAAGATCAGCCTAGAGATTCGTTAGCCAGTGTAACCGATACCCCCCAGAAGGGTAATACTAACGTTGTGGCAGGCAAAGGTGTTGTTGGCATCACCCTTGATAGCCTCTGCGTAACCCTTGACACACTTGGTGTAGCCGAGCTTGGGATACTGCTCGCTGGCGAAAGCACCAGCAGCCTCCTGCTTAGCCCAGACAGCCTGCTTGCTGGCCATGAGCTTGTTGTGCACCTCGCCCGAGTCGTACAGCCTAGCGGCCTTCTCCTCGTTCACCTTGATCTCCTTGGCGGCGACATAGGAGCTGACAGCGGCGAGGGCGCCGAGGAGCAGAGTGGACTTGACCATCATGAGAGGTTGAGGATGATAGTTGGGGATGGAGTGAGAAGACCAACATGTTTGGCGAGGAGAGGGTGCCTTTTATGTATCAACTGGCGGTATGGCTATCTGGGGATGCAGTGTTGGAATCTTTGTAGATCACGTATACCGGCAATCCTACCATAAGCGATCACAGCCGGAGGGTCAATGCACGTTCGCGCCTCGAGATCTCCCCTTCACCAATCATCGCCTCCCCAGCGTCGCACCGAACCATTATCTCAACTTGGCGATAGTGACGGCATTTCCTGTCTACCCGGAAATACCCCAGATCTGGAAGGTGTCTACCGCACACCCGCTCTGTTATCAGAACCTATGATCAACTCCACAGGCACCACCAAGGTTCTCCATTGCAACCCAAGAAGCCACTCTGCACAAAGAATGTCTTACAAAAGTTCTAACACGCCGAATCTCATTGGATACAAGGTATATCTTTCGCAATCCTTGGCGGCGAGTGTACCAATCCTAGTTCGGCAGGTAAGTTAAGCTTATTGGATAGACTTCTTTTCTCGGACATAGCGCCGATGGCATTTTTTTAATCTTATCTTGAAGTTTAAAGACGCAATGTGACCTTGGAGCGGGCTTGGCGGGGGGTGATTGGAGGAATTGTTATGGGGACGAATAGGGGATTAATGCCGATCGCAGATTCAAGCTTGTTTTTTTGCTCCGCGGTTATCTATGCTTAAGTCATAGTTTTTGTCACTATTTGAAGCGCTGACTTTTGCACTAGACTAGATTATAGCACGTGAGGCACCCCTGACGATCTCTGTACGAGATAATAATAGTAAATGTGCCTGAGCACTGCTCATCGAGGACACGGGCCTGAGAGTTCAACCACTTGAGAGTCCAAGTTCTCATACTTCTCAACCGCGTCATTCGTTGTAACACCATGATCTAACCCACCCTCAGTTCCACCCAAACACTCTGCCCATGTATTCGTTCTTCTAAATGACTTTGGCCACCTTTCCAGCGTTGCCGTCTTTCATGCCGTTCTGCGATACTCTGTCTAGCCAATGATGGCGTCAATCACTGGCGGGCGCGTTTCGAGAAAACTAGTTACGAATCCATTGAGGATATGTCTACTTTCTTGCAGATAGGGGAGATAACAGCCGACGTAGTAAAGTGTCCAATACTAGGAGGAAGCAAACTGATCACTTGGCTATTCTGTGCTCAACATCCTGGTTGCAATAATCACCGAGAGGTGGTTAAGGCTGAGGAAAAAATAGATTGCTTCTCTTGCTTGATCCTTTCTCACAAAAGTTCTTTTTTGTCCCCGGTTATCGTCAAATGACTCATTTAATAGTATTGAACAGTCTCCGACAGTTTTCCAAGTCTTACAGGCCACCACGGGCGAATGAGATGGACCCAAAGTCACCAAGTTATTAATGATCTCTAATCATGAGAAATCCTCGCGTGCAGACTGCAGCATTCATCATCAGGTATGTCTTGCATGTCTATTTTTCAGATGCGATTATAGTTTCTAGGTCTTTGATTGAGGTCATTACGGGCACTTTGAAAACGCAGTGCTATTCGAGGAGGGAACCATACTAGAATAACTGCTGGTTACGGGAAGTTATATAATAGTTTTAGAGCTCATTCAAGATGACAGCTTGACTCAAATTCATTGAATTGTAACATAATGCCCTGAGACATAAGAGCGACCCGGCACTTTGTCTCTCGGTACAAGACACTTCATAGTAAACATATGAAATTATTCTTTAGAGAGCCCAAGAGTCTATTCCATACACTGGCGTTCTATCTACAGCTTGCTCGACTAGTTATCGAAGAAAAAGTCCAAACGTTTGTTACCCTGGTCGCTAGTATTGTTGAGGTAATTCGCTTTTTCGTGCGCAGTCATGCTCTCCCACTTAGTCCTCTTGGACTTATTCCGGTAGGTATAATAGCCCTTGGCAAAAGCATATGCAAAGATAGTTCCCACTGTGATGCCAATCAAGTTCTTGTTTCCGCGATGATAAAGCGGCTTGTCATCCTCACGGTAAATGTTGGACGAAGCAATGCCCGACAATTGGATGGTGATGTTGTACAAAGCCGCACTGATGGCTCGGGTTCGGACTGAGCCGGACAGTCTGGAGCACCAACCAACTTGAGCTGCATGCACGGAGGGCTGGCCGATGATCAAGAATGCCACAGCGTATTGGGCCCAATGCGATAAATTTTGGACCGATGTGTACTCAACGATGAGTAAGGGAAGGACCCAAAGCTGGGTGAGGAGACCGAACAAGGCGATTTGATGGAACTTCTCAGTAAGAAAGGTAATCCAGAGCATGTTGACAGCGGCAAAAACTGTAGCAGGAATCGCCAAGAGCGTAGTGTTGAAAGTACTAAAGCCTAAAGCTCGAAGCGACAACGTTAGGTAAGTTTTAGGCGGTGCGGTCGGAATCTCAAACAGTATGCCAATAGCGTACACAGGCCAGAGGTCGTAATCTTTGAGACTCTTCCAAAGCATCCCTAACGTAATCGGTTCGCGATTATGCATACCGCTCTTGGACGGATCATCCCGAAGAACACGATTAACAATGATCTTCTCCTCACGCTCGGTAAAGTAACCCGAAGGATTCCACCACGTCTTGGTCTGTGTTGGTCCAGGGACGAGGAACAGGAAACTCAGAACGCCAACTACCAAGCTGATCAAAGCTTCCAAGAGGAACAACCAACGCCAGCCCTCTCTCCCAGCGACACCGCGCATATGTAGAATACCGTATGCCATGAACGAAGCAACAACACCAGACATGGAATCGACGAACCAGAAGAGGGCAAGACGTATAGGCATCTCAGTCTTCTTGTAGAAGTACGAGAGATAGAGGATCGAGTCTGGGATAAAACCACCCATGAACAAGCCGATAAAGAAACGGCATGCAAAGAATCCTGCACGGTTATGCATGAAGAACTGTCCGCCCGACGCTAAACTCCAGAGGATGATCTGAACAGGGATCCAGCGATCAGGGCCAAGACGCTTGCCGATCATCTGCGAAGGAATCTCTGCAACGAGGAATCCAATGCGATACATGTTCTGCGCATTGTTAAAGTCGTTGGTATTAAGCTTGAGATCATCGAGTAAATTATCAGCAGCTGCGTTGCCGAGATTACCACGATCGATGTTAAGACCGAAGAACATGACGAGGATCCAGATGAAGATCTTTAGGTCAGTCTTGCGGCGAACGGCGTATTCTTCGCGATAAGTCCATCTTTCGCTTGGGTCGAAGCGATGGAAGTTCTCATACTCTGGTGGTGGCTGGTAGAATTGGGAGAGGTGGGGATCGTCAAAGACACTACGCTCAGTGGCGATGGCGTCGAGGTCGGCGGGTTTGTTGCGACGGGTGAGGGCTTCCCAGATGCCGATGTTTCGGCTGGTATCTTGGGGCTCTACCAGATCGGTCGCTTCGTCTTTGGGAGAGGTGACTTCAAAGGATGGTGCCTTTGCGTCAATGTCTTGATGGACGAGATGACTAGGGTGAGCCATTCTGGGCAGTGAAGGGCCAAATGTCCCTGAAAGTATATAACAATTGAAAGCTTGTAGGAATCAGCTTGGTGACTCTGTATTTACAAGAGAGACAGTTATGCCTCTTATATGTAAACCCTTCCTGTGATTCTTTAAGAATCTGACTGACAACCAGCGCAAACGGTCATCTTCAACGTGATGGTGCGTGCAGATGGTGTGACCAGCCGGGCCCCCAGTTCCAGAGATAACCATCAATTCAAGCCTACTACCTTGTGCATCTCGGCACCGATGATCCGAGAAGCCATCACGACATTATGGGGATAAATGGGGATTGACCAGCTACCCCCAACACCTATTACCATATGCAGGATGCCACCCGGAGCTATGTACCGGCCCTCCCACGCAAAGGAATGTACATATACAAAGGATGGGGGTCTTTTTGGGGGTTGTATACGGTTAGTCGGGATGACAAGCGATAGGCCGTGTTACCAAGACTTTCCCAATCGCATGAGCCAATGTGCATGGCGCAATGACAAACACCGTGAAACTTTGATACCGCGTGTGAGCAGCAGAAGGAGTAATTTCATCAATACTTTTATCGTGAATGTTCACATGCCAAAAGAACTACGTGGCCGTAACAGGCGAAGAGAATACGCCGATTCTTTTGGATGTTTGCCACCGTTTTAAAAGCAAACTGGGACCTTACGGTGGCTGATCGACATATCACTCAGCTTTGATTCATGAAGTCAAGTAAAATGTATTCTTTGTAACTCTAGAAAGATACCCAGTATTCTAGCGATCAATCTCGTGTCCCAGCTATACCAAACGGCAGATTCTTGTACTTTACAACTCCCTTTGTTTCAGGATGCTCAACATCGAGATCCCATTTATCAGGAACTTCCAAACCAGCATCAAGATGATGCTTATTCAACAGCACAGAAACTCCATCCCGGTAAAGCCAGGGGTCATTCGTCCTCCTTTGCCAATCCTCAAGCCTATCCCTCAACTCCTCCAAAACCTCTTTATACTTAGGGTCTTTAGCTAGATTCACAACTTCCTGCGGGTCTTGCTCCAAGTCATACAGCTCTTCAGCCGGGCGGAAGAAGTAATCTTTCAAGTTCCTCTGTCCAATCTTCTTTGGGTTGTCTTCTGAGTTGCGGATATCTTCCCACGTCAACGATCCGTAGATGTCGTTTGCAAATGGGAAATCGAGCCTCCACGCGATGTTGCGATGGTACTTGTAGCGCCGTGTGCGGATGAAGCGAGTGGGCCAGTAGTTGGTAGACTCGTGGAACGTGTGTGAGCCAAATACGTGGTCCCATACATCAAGGTCCTCTTCTTGATTAAGAATCTGCAGGAACGAGCGACCTGATAATTGTTTCTTGGGCTCTTCCGCGGCTGGGCCAAGTGTCCAGTCGAGGATTGTTGGTAGAATGTCCACATACGACACCAGGTTTGTGTTGACAGAGGCTCCGAAACCTGGGTGGCGAACAATAAGTGGTAGCTGAACACCAGCGTCGTATAAAGTTGTCTTTGAGTTCATAAACGGAGGCCCATTATCGCTCATGAAGATGACCAATGTATTCGACGCAAGGCCTGCGTTCTCAAGCTCATCGAGTATAAAACCAATGCCCTGATCTAAGCGACTAATGGCTTCCAGATACTCTGCAAGCTCTTGTCTGGCCCCAGGAGTGTTGGACAAGAATTTGGGAACGACCATATTTTCAGGCCGATACTTGACGCTTTGAATACGCCTGTCAACCGGCTCGTCATTCCCAAAGCCACCACGCGTTCGATCACGATGCGGGTCATGATATCCAACCGTCAAAACAAACGGCCTTTGATTCTCTTTGGACGCTTCAAAGAATTCTTTAGCCTTCTGAGAAGACCACCAGACATCTCTCGTCAAACTCTCAGCTCTCCACTCCCATGGATAAACAGCCTCAGGCCCAACGTGGATCTTGCCAATGATGCCAGTTCTCACACCGTTCTTAGCTAGGATGGCAGGACCAGACTCGATGTGATCAAATGTCATGAAATGATGCTTTCCACTGTTGAGACCATACTGCCCATTCTGGTGGGTATGCAGTCCGGTGTAGATGGTAGAGCGACTTCCACTGCACGAAGCGGTGCTTGCAAAGGCTCTGTCAAATCTTACACCATGGGAAGCAAGTTTGTCGATATTTGGAGTTTTGGCATTGGGATGGCCGTAGCAGCCTAGTTGTTTGCCTAGGTCGTCTGCGACAAGCAGGAGGACGTTTTTTGCCGTCATATCGAAAAGAGCAGATGAATAGCTGAGCGTTGGTTTGTAATGCTATACCACAAATGTGAAATGAATGATATTGAGATTCGTGACTTGTCTTTTCTGCTCAGGGTCTGGGCGCGGAGGTACATGTCGAGGTCCAGGTTGGCGATGGCGTGACGAACGAGACTATGTCGCCATACAGCAAGAAATATATAACCCAGCATCCCACGCAATCAAACAATAGATGATATGTAACCGACATCAAGACGGTGCCGAATATCCGTGCTTATCATCCTCACATCGTGAAACTACCCAGAATTGAGCCTCAATCATGTCGATCAAGTGTGTAAACAACCTAGTGCCCATCTGTCAGATTGGCTCATCGACGGCATCAGAAAAAGCGCACCAATGAGGATACATATAAGCGATTGTGACATCCGCGCTATTTCTGGATATAGCATGGGTGTGAACGGCCGAAGTGTAGGGATTCGGATCCGACTCTCAGGAACCCCCAAAGGCATAGGTCTACTTGCTCATTGTACCGGTACATACAAGGAATCTCTGGGTTTCTAGCACTTGATGGAGTAAAGCTCAGTATAATGACGACAAGTTCTAGTCTCGGAAAGGAGCGATGGCCCGAGATGGTATCAGCACTGCCCACGATTGAACGCTGTGAGGTGCAATGGCAAGAGTGAAGTCACCGTCTCGAGAGACCTTGCTCCGTAGGTCTGACCGGAATAACGGCAACATCATTCCAATCTAAAGGGGAAAATGTAAGATGAAGGCCATATGTCGTGCTCGTGATGGATATCAGTGATAGATTCTGAACCAGCGGGAGTAGATATCGAAGTGAGCATGAGTACTTACGATCTGCCGTGGGATGAGTATATATTTCAGACTAGACTTTGAGGTTCAAAGAAGAATTCCAACTTCACCATCCAAAATAAAGTTCCTCCAAGATGAAACTCGTTCTCATCACAGGCTTATTCTCAGCCATCCTGGCAACCGCCCAACTCACAGGTCCCGTCGGCCCCCTCACAGCCCTCTCCCAAAAGACCCACGAGTGCAACATTCTCGACTACGGCGCTGTAAACGACAACTCCACTGACATAGCAGACGCCATCGAGAAGACCTTCAAGACCTGCGTCCTCCCACACGCTGGAAGCCGTTTAATTGTCCCAGACGGACAGTACCTGATCAAGCGCTCAGTCATTCTGTCAAACGGTACAAATTGGGCGTTTCAGCTCGATGGACTTATCACTTTGGCGTATGGTGGGAACTGGACTGTTGATCGTAAGTTGGTATTGCAGGGCTTTGCGGGAGTTGAGCTGCTGAACGCAACTATCAATGGTGAAGGTGATGGGCAATTCTTGCAGAATGGACTCACCATTATAAATCGTACGTACATCGTCTACTACTCCACTCTTCCGTTTGTTGACAAAGTTACCAGCTGTCGACTTTGAGTTTTACTCACAGAATGGAAAGGGTGCCATTCAGGGACAGGGATACATCTACAGAAACTTGGCAAAGTAAGTCTCCCCCTTCGGCACAGTGATAGTTGCGAAATGCTTATATCCAATCAAGTACTTTCCGTCCTCGTCTTGTCAGAATAATTTCACCCATCAACACTTCTGTTCACGACCTCATTCTCGTTGACAGCCCAAAGTTTCACATCGTCTTTGACTTTGCTGAGAACCTCGAGGTATATCACCTCACCATCCGAGGGGCCAACCTGGGTTCTTATGATGGGGTTGACGTGGTTGGCACAAATTATTGGATCCACGATATCGAGGTAAGAAGCGCTTCAGCTAAACTCATGGATCATATACTTATCATATTAGGTGACAAACCGAGACGAATGTGTGTCGGTGAAAAGCCCTTCCAACCATGCTCTCATCGAGAACTTGGTTTGCAACCAAGCTGGTTCCGGCATCTCGATTGGCAGTCTTAACGTGTCAGCATCTATCGCCAATATCGTAAGTAAACCCTACCTATAAGGCTTGACGGTATTGACTCAGTTCTTTTAGCATGCACGCAATATCAACATCATCCAGGGAAACAACATTGCATTTATCAAGACTTACCCCGGAGGCTCTGGTCACGTTACCAATATCACTTTTGAGAACTTCCGATCCAAGGCATCTCTCTACGGCCTTGATATCAACCAGTATTGGCAGAACACGTTTGAGCCTGATACCGGGGCTGTAGCTTTGAGTAACCTAGTCTTTAAGAACTTCTCCGGTAAGTGCAAAGTTGATAAGATGGCTTCAAAGACTGACCATCATGTTCCAGGATCTGTCGCCGATGGTTCCAAGAGACCTCCTCTCTTCCTGGTAGCTAATGATCTATCATTCGCCACCAACGTCACAGTCGAAGACTTCAGCATCTGGACTGAATCTGGATCCTCAGTCGTCAACAAGATCAGCAACATCTTCGGCCACGGCGATAATTCTTATGGACAGGCGAATGGCATCAAGTCGCTTTCTTCTGGCCAGGCACCTACCGCATACACCAGCACTTACACTGTCACGGCTACACCTACCGGTTGGGCAGCTCCATCATTCCCTACATGGGCTGCGGCAAGCACTGGTTATGGGAGTAAGTTACTTGATGAGCTTTATATGTATATGCGCTGACTATTGCTTTAGCTGATGTGCCCATTCCGGTTTATACACCGGCTGCTCTGTGGAAGCCGGAGGGTGACTATGATAAGCATTACTGGGGATCCTTTTGAGGTACCGACACCGCCAGCGGTCTGTGACACTCTACCAATAACACAGCAGTTCCGGTGAGCGAAGGAAGCGTCTCAAAACATGAGTGATTGTCTTAAATAACTGCTAGCTATGAGACAACCATCTAGTAAATATACCTAAACCCTGATCGTTGTGTTCCCGTAGCTGCAGCCATGTCGATCTTTCCATCCTCAGTAGCCACGGCATTCGCTTCAGCCTCTGCCTTATCCAACTTCTTGTTCTCCCATTTATGAACATATCGCAGTAACAGAGCAAGGAGAGCGACGATAACACAGATCGCGGCATTAGCACTTCCACCTGGGGTGTATTGGGGACCGTCTTTGCTGGGATACATGTAGGATCCGTAAATACTGGCTGTGTTGCCGATCATGTTGCAGATGGCGATGACGGCTGATCGTTTTACCAAGGGACGGGGGAAGGAGTTTGCGACCCATGATACGATGATTTGATCTGTGAAATGTTAGTTGCGGATTTGGGACTGAGGGGAGTTGCATACTCACAAGAAGCAACAGAGCCCATGGGCATGAGAAACATGGCAAAGAAGCGAGCTCCAACGACGGTCGTCGCAGCTGCAATCGCGTTTCCAATAGCTGCTACAAGCATGAGGCAAATAATATGCAGCGATCTATCATTCGTCTTGGCAGAGCTCAACGTTACGCAGACCGAGAGGAGGAAAGTCGCAAACTACAAGATAAGTCAGTAAATCCCACTCTAATTCAAATAATAGTATCTCAAACTTACCCAAGCAGGTGCAGTGAGCCACAGGGTGGTGATCTTTCCATAACCAAGCGTTCCAACAATTGTTGGGAAGAAATATTGAAACGTCTGGGAAATCAAGCTGACGTGCTGAAGAAGAACGAAGAGGTAGAGTCGATAATCGCGTACAGCCAACTTGACACCGTCCCAGATTGTCTTTTCGCCGTAGGCGTCGACTTCGCTAATATCTTGTGCCAAGCGCCATGCTGCGAATGCTCGCTCTTCTTGGGTCAACCATTTGGTGGTGTGAGGGTAATTGGGCAGAGCGACTGCGGCGATGAAAGAGAATCCGATAGCGGCTACGCCTTCCTACTTGCTTGTTAGCCATGCTTTAACCCAATGCCGAAATTGAACTCACGATGATGAAAAGCCATCTCCAACCGGCGATGCCATGAGCTCCCTCAAGATCACCGAGAATGGCGGCACCTAAAACACCCCCAAACATATTCGCCAGCGCATTTCCTGAATAAAGCCAAGCAATGCGCCGAGTAAGCTCCGCTCTCGTATACCACGAACTCATCAAAAACACCGCCCCCGGAAAAAACGGCGCTTCAACAAAACCAAGAAAGAACCGAATCACAATTAAGTGGGTGAAGCTATCAGAAGCAGCATTACACGTCGACACCACGCCCCAAAGACAACACGAAGCACTAAGGTACAGCGACGGCCGAAGTTTTGTCAGGATGAGATTGGAGGGGAGTTGCATGAGTAAATATCCCACGAAGAAGATCGACGTGGCGAGGTTGAAATCTGTGCCTGACATGCCGAGATCTTCTTCGAGGGAGCCTTGTCTTGCTTGTGCGAGATTCGAGCGGTCGAGAAAGTTGAGGAGATACATGATGACGAGAGTTGGCATTAGTCGCATATCGACTTTGCGGAGGAGTTTCTTGTCGAAGTCTTTTCGCCATTCTTCGGTTTGGTTGTTAAAATCCCATGATTCGAGGTTTTGCTCACGACCGGCGGCGGGGGTATCGCCTTCGTCCATCTGGACGGATGCCTTGCCTGTGTCCATTATTGCGTCAAGAGTACTGAGTGGCGAATAAACGAGATTTACTACTTCAGTGAAAGACGAAGAGAGTTGGGGGATAAAAAGACCAAGACTTCAGCTCCAATGACGGTATATAAAGCCCTCCCAAACGAGAAAAGAGCAGACCCGGCACAAGTTTCGGCAAAGGAATACACCGAATCTCCATCATCATTGGTAACATTTCACCAAGATCAGCGAAAAATGTAACATCACCAACAGTCTGGCCAACGAGAAACAAGGTGATTGCTTGAAGTCGGTAGATCATCCCCCGCAATTGACGAGACTGCCCCGCAGCTGAGTCGGGTTGATTCTGGGGTAAAATGGGCACGAGCAAGGTCTATGACTCGGGGAACAACCAGTGGTGTCATGATGACCCGCTCACTTGTGGGGAGGACGCTGTTTTTTTCGTATGTGCTGTTTGATGGGTGTTGTACGGATTGGGATGGAGGATGTGAGGGTTGTATTAGGCTGCACCTACGGAGATAACATTATGGAGTTGGATGCATTTGCATGTTCTCTTATCCACAACACCTGATTCCGAGATGAACCAGATCTCACCGAGACAGATATTCGATGCGGAAAACAGATCGCTGGCCGGGCTGATGCTGTGACCCGACAGGCAGCATTCTTAGGTGAGTACTTCTTGCGATGCCTCATCGCTGATGCGAGAAAGCTTCGCACTTTCACCGTGCGGTTTAGACCACTCTCGGAGCCAGAAGTAGCCATCGACACAGTCTCAAAAGCATGCCGAGGTACTTTTGCAATGTAACTTCCGAGATTTCCTATCTTGAAGCGCGAATTGGGGTTTGAATGCAACAGTAAACCGATGCAGGTATTCCCGTTCAACCAATCAAGTGCATTGTCACTATTAGGCAAAATGGATGTTGTGATCGGCAATGCGGAGAGCAAGCAAACTGCATATCGGACAAAAGACCGATAAATGCTGGGTTGACCCAACAGATGCTGTCACCTGATATGTCTCGAGCCAGGTAAAGGCGGTCATAAAAGCAAGAGCTAACAGTTTCGCTCGGTCATCGAGGGGCGTTGAGCCTGGACTCTATGGCCATGACTTGTATATATAGCATTTTCAACCATCGCCTCATTGGCTTATGAATAAGGAAAATAGCCGCTTGTCAACCTAATTATGTGTGGCGATTAGACTGCTAGACTAATAACCCAAAAACAAAAGCCTCTGTTAGTCAGGTAACAAAAGAATAGGGCCTATACCACTTCTTAACATCGTAACTATAGTTTCTTAGTTTTAAATAGGCTTATATTAATAGAAATTAAAAAATTCAGGTATGCTTAACTTAAACAGCGATAAGCTTAGTTTGCAGCTTGGAGCATACCCTATCATTTGACCTCACGTTGGTCACGGGACAGAGTAGCGCAAAATATCAATTGACAATCCCGATCGAGAAGTCGTGATAAGCGTTACTGCGCTAGGATGGAAGTAGTCAATTGATTGCAATATTCATATACTGTCAACATTAGAGCTCATCTCTGATGGATTCAAGCATAGCCTCAGCGAGTTGGTGGGGTGATCAATATCAATGCTTAATCGCTCACTAATTCTTAGCAATGCCAAGAAAGAGCAAGGGTCCTTGAACTCTATTTCGCAGACTCGATTAAGTTATCATCAGTGACTCTATTAAGACAACATCGGACAATTTCTATTCATTTCAAAATGTGTCGATGAAAGCGACAGATCTGTTTCTCTTTAACCCCCAAGGATTACATACGTCGTAAAAATATGCAGTGGCGCCAAACATCCCTTTCACATTTCCTTTGAGGGTTTTCATAGTCAACTGCAATACTAAGATGAAAGCGGTTTATTCGGCTGGAACGGTGCAGTCTAGAGTAGTCGAAGACATCAAGTCGTTGGGAAGTACGATAACCTATGACCAAAAAGGATAGTTCAAGCGACTTCCCCGCAAACCCATGGATCGCGACAAGGGGGCTTGATAAGATGGTCACGATCATCTACCCTGGCTTCTGCAAAATTACGAACAAGCCTATCATCAAGCATAACTCAATCTGTCTCCCGCATCTAGATCGATTATGGAAGCGGGAGCCGACTCTAGTTTTCGATTTGATGTCGCTTGTCAATTTGACAAGTGAGGACGTAACGACCAAGACTTACGCTTGGGCCTTGGGACGGTTGTATAAGTAGAATAACTATATAAGGCTATCCGGATGTTATTAGAGAGAAAAATAGATACCATTCCAGTTTGTCACATTCTCAATTCTTAAACAACTCAATGAAAGCTCCAGGTTCGATCTCTAGCCTGCTTCTGGCAGTAGCTCTTCTGGTTTCACCAGGCTCAGCTGCTTCCAAGAAGTCAAACAACAAGACAGTCATTGCAGACACCGTCTTTCACAATGGATCCATTTATTCTATTGATCTTCTCTCTACAAAGTACACTGCTCTCGCCGTCAAAGATGGACGCATTGCCTTCCTAGGCGACGAGGAAAGCATTCAGTCATACATCGCAAAAAACACTTCGGTCTTCAACCTTGAAGGCCGCATGATGATGCCTGGTCTCGTGGACGCCCACATGCATCCCCTGCGTGGCGGAGCGAGTCTACTGAAGTGCAACATGAACTTTCAACCTTTGGGCCTTGGTAAAGTCCTTGAGAAAATCCAGAGTTGTCTTGATGACGACAAGGATAAGAGTAATGAAGACTGGCTAGAGGTTATCTCGCTTGACTACTATGCCTTGGTCGACGATACGGGCGGCGTTACGAAGAAGGACTTGGACAAGCTCAAGACAAAGAGGCCTATTCTGGTCGCGTCAGCTGATTCACATACCTTCTGGGTCAACTCTGCTGCGTTGACGGTATCATCTCTCACAAGCAAGACCAAAGACCCACGAAACGGCAAATTTGAGCGACTTGCGGGAAGTCAAGAACTTTCAGGAATTTTACAAGATTCTGCGACGAGTTTATTAGCAGGCCCGGCGCCACCAACGGCCGAGGACAACATTCGATCTGCCAGAGCAGCATTGAAGCTCCTCCGCGAGGAAGGCGTGACAAGTTTCCAAGAGGCTGCGTCCAGCGAGGATACAGCTCTTGCGTTCGCAGCTATCAAGAAAGAGGGAGGCCTAACCGCTCGTGGCTTTTTCGACTACCTTGTCCAACCACCTAACAACACTGCGGGAATTGACGATCTAGTAAAGGACGTGGTCAACGTTACTTCTACGTGGAACGACAAGAAGGAGTTGGGCCCCAAACCCTCTATGAAGTGGCACGCTGTCAAGATGTTCATGGACGGCGTTCTCTTATACCCCGCGAATACCGGATCCCTCATCGAGCCATATTTTCAGCCTGTGGCTAACACCTCCATGTGGGCACCCAAGTCAGACTTCGGACCAAAAACATACTGGGACAAGGAACTTCTCAGCCTGACCCTAACGAAGTTGTTCAAAAATAACATCGACGCCCAGATTCACGTGGACGGAGATCTAGCTGTTCGAACAGCCCTCGATGCCCTTGAGGAGCTCCGCAACAAGAACCCCAAACTTCGTGATTACCGTGTTGGATTTGCTCATAACGAAGTAACTGACCCTTCAGACTGGCCTCGCTTCGCTGAACTCAAGGCCGATCCTATCATGAGCTTTCAATGGTCACAGGCCAGTTCAGTTTGGCTCCCAAACGGTGTCAAGAGCATGGGTCCAAGACGTTCGCATTACATGGAAGCCTTTGGAGAACTTGCCAAGTTTGGGTCTGCTATAGTCTACGGTAGCGACTGGCCGGTACGTTATCACAAGATAGATTTGAAGAACATGGACACTAATATCATTCGTAGATTGATCCTCTGGATGAGTGGCTCGCCATCAAAGCCGGCGTCACGCGCTCAGGCGATCCCAAAAACCCCAACTCCCCGGCCTCACAAGGCGCTCCCTACAACGGCAACGGTCTTCCCGGTCTGACCCTCACACGCGATCAGGCTATCCGAGCCATCACGACCGAGAGCGCTCGCTTCCTTCGCGCTGATGCCTATATCGGATCACTTGAAGTTGGAAAGCTTGCAGATGCTATTATTCTAAAGGCCAATTACTTTGAAGTCCCTGAGCAGCATATCGCTAGACAGAAGACGCTTTTGACGATGGTTGGTGGTGAGGTTGTATATATCGCTGATGAGGTTGATTTCAAGAATGGTGTTAATCCTAAGTTTGAGAATGATGATGATGTTGGTAGGATGATTAAGAGGAGAAGTGTTGGGGGGATTCAGGGGAGAGATTTGTCGGATGAGGGGAAGAGATCTGTGCAGCGTTTGCAGACTCGTGGGGCTTGTGTGCATTCTCATCATCACTGAAAGCAAACAAGGCTCGCTTGATAGGTTACGCTTCTCTTTGTCCATTTTCACATTAATCCTTTAAGCCCATCCTCAATCCTTGACCACTGCCGGGGTGTGAAGAAACCAGATAACCAATAATTGCCATCAAGATCTCTAGTGTGAATATTGACAAAGTTCCTCATTGTAATACCAGGATTGAGCGACGAAGCATAGTGATGAACTGGCCTTCCAGGACGGTTCTTCCGCTGGTTATCTTTAACAGCTTGAATCACCGCTGGTCCAAAGTCCGCAGCTGTAAAGAGATCGACCTTGAGCCTATTGTTGGTAACCAGGAGTTGACTACCTGGTGCAGCGAAGATTGGTGCTCTTGTTTTGCCGTCATCCCAACGTTCGCGAAAGAGCTGAAGGATGCCTATCAAGTTCGACTCATCCAGCTGTTGCAACAAGCCTCGGCGGCTCGCGAGAGCTTGCTTTCCCAATGGTCCATGAAGGTCACTTGATGCGATATTGACGAAGGACCCTAGGATCATGTTCTGAACGTAAAAGCCATCAGAATTCTGGAGTTGAGATAATCGGGTGCGTGCGTCGATCGGAGTTGTCATGCTGATTGGACGGGGTGCTTTAGATAAATCGACCAGGGCGCGGGTGAGCCAGGCCAAGATGGCATCACTTGGGCTGACCCATGGATCATCCTGGTCTGAGTGCTCTCCCTTAATATCCTCTAGCGCCTGCTGATGGAGTTTGTCTACCACGTCTTTTGGCAGGCAGATGATGCGGCTTTCAACGATCGGCTGAGTGAGTATGATCCAGAGCATACGGACGACGAAGAATATGAACGCTATACCAGAGAGAATTCGGGCTTCACTAGCTGCATACTGTGGTCCGGCTTGAGAGATAGCTCCAAGGTTGTATAGGACATCATCCTTAGCACCGATGATATTTGGGACACGTTCTTTGTGACCAGCGAGTACTGCTGACCACGCTTGAACCAAATGAGAGAATCCAACTGCGTCAAAGAGAACATGTGGCCACGTAACAGTAACAAGTGTCGCATCTTGGAAGGTGATAATGTGAAGACCTATTATAGGGATATCCCGACTCGTATAATCTTTCAGCGATGCTGGTGTGCCGGGCGGTATACCAAAGTTTCGAGGCCCCGACG